TGGAAAACTTTTTATCCAAACGTCGATGAGTACTTGGGAAATGTGGAAGTGAACGTGCTCCATCCAGGCCATCCCTGGGTAATAACAGGACTGGTGGGTAAGCAAGGGCCCCGTTCAGGGCTTCCTCGCTTTTGGAGATGCCGGCGCCCGGGAGGATTTGGGTGCCCGGCTTGGCTTATTTAAAGCGAACCTTGAATCGGGTCAGCCGTGCCTGTCCGGCGTGTCTAGGGTCCGCCAGCCCGGCTGGGTGTTATCCGGCGGATTGGGCGCGGGAATGCGAGTGGTGCGGATGCCTTTGATTCTTCCATGGAACTCCGTCTTTCCCCCTCTAGCTCCTCGAGGTGACATTTATGCCGGTCCGTGGGGAAGCCCCAGCACTGCAGCCGTTGCCGATCCGGCTAATACCACTCTCGATCCAAGGAACGCGGGGTGCGTTCCCTTTTGATTCCCGTTTGAGACCGACCCCCCCCCCCCCCCCCAACTGTGCGTGAAAACGGGGCTCTCGGTAACAGGGGGGTAACCTGTGGTTCAAGCAGGCAACCCGGTAACCAATGACCCCGCTGTTCATATGGATATAGTCTCCGTGGTGGATGCGGTGGAGAAAGCACGGCTGCCTTGTCCGTTGCTTGCCAGTCACCCCGCTCCCGCGGCATCTCGTCCCGAGCCGGGAACTGAGAGTTGGGACCTTGGCTGGGCTGGGTTGATGGATATCATCAAGGTCGGGTCTGGATCGAATTGCAAGCAAAACTTCCCGGATTCGAGAGCTTCGTTGCTTCCGCTGGCCAACTCAAGATCGAGGATTGAGGGAATTGTTTCAACCGAGGCCCAGCAGCAGTCAACGTGCCAGCGCTGTGCCAACAACAAACATGGTGCGGTGTATCTCTCATGCAGGTCCGGCCAAAGATCCATCTTCCTGCAGGCTCAGCCACCAGCTCCGTGGAGAGCGTAGCTTCCCCATTTAGTAAATACTAGCTAAAGTGACGTGGAAAGATGAGATCGTGGAAGGAGGTGCCAAGGCCCAACCACACAACCCCGCATGCCTGGACCCCCCAATCCCCCCCTCCATTAGGACACACTGGAGACCAGTCGCTGCATCTGGCACACACCACCATGGCTGGGCACCACGGCCAGCCAGTAAGTATCCGCTATCTCGGGCGGCCGGCGGCATGCCGGAAATGCTTCTCGCGTGCCCGGCCTGCCTTCGAGAACGCGGGATTCCTGCGGCTGGCCGCACCTTCCCTAAATACGTCGATCTCCCCTGCAGTTCTCACGTGTTGCTTCTTTTCTTAGTATTTGACCACGAGAGCAAGTGACAACCGTAGTTGGAGACTTTCTCGGTCACTTTTTACAAGTTGAGCTCGAGTTGACAAACTCGTCTGATATCCAGCTACCAGGCTACCAAAGGTACCTATCCAGCTTGTTCAGACCGTACTAGACCCTCCGTCCGACCTCCCCGTCCTTGCCATTGTCTCGGCCCGCGCCATCATTCGGTCATCTTGCGCATTCCTGCTGCTGCTCTTTTGACTTGCTCCCTTTTTGATACTTCCATCAACTCCAGCCAGCCAGGCATCCTTTTTCACATCGCCCGAGATCATATGGCTACCTCCATGCTTGACGACGTCCCGCGGTTCGCACACGTGGCGATCGAGTCCTTAGGACCGGAGGACTTTGAGACAGCATCGGTCCGCTCCATCCGCTCGGCAGCTCCTTCATACAGTAAGTCCGCCATAAATCGAAGCTCTCCCCAAGCTCTCCCTAGCTTCACCCAATTGCCACCCACCTTGCTCAACCCCCAAACCAACCCCCTAAACCATCCGAGGTAACTAACACCCCTCTCCCTCCCTCTCCAAGCCTCCGACGCACCCTCTTACCACTCCACCAACCCGCACCCCGACCCCCTCCCAGCCTACTCGCCACCAGCCCGCTCCACCACGGCCGCATCGACATCAACCACAACAACCGCAGCACCAGCAGTACCCGCCCCCCGCAACAACAGCGTCTCCTCGTTACTCGACCTCGAACCCACCCCATCCTCATCCTCATCCACCACCACCAGCAGCAGCAGTAACGCTCCGCGCCGGTACGGCCTGCCCCCCGTGCCAACCGGACCCCCACGGCACCAGTCAGACATCCCCTCACTCGCGCGCTTCCGCACCGCAGCCTGGTCGCCCGCCAGCGGCGGCGCCCACGCCAACCCGACCGCACGCATCTACCAGAACGTGGCGCTTCGCCGGGCGAGTGCCAGCGGAAGCAGCAGTGGTAGCAGTTCGGGAGCGGGCGCGTCCGCGTCGGCGGCGGCGGCAGCAACGGCGAATCTGGATGGGCTGATGCGGCGGGTGATGCTGGAGCGGATCGAGGAGGAGGAGGAGCGCCGGAATAGGGTGCGTCCGCTGGAGGATCCGTATCTGGTGGGTGAGGACGCGGCGGCCAGGGCGAGGGCCGAGAGGATGGCGAGGGAGAGCGTGCGTGGTGGGGGGGATGAGGTCCTCATTCGGGAGGATCGTAGGTGGGATTGGTTTTTGGGTGAGTCTGTCTGTCTTCTTCCCTCCTTTTGACTTCCTTTCTTCCCCGTCATAGTAGTTGTTTTGGCTGTTGTAGGGCCAGAAGTCGAGTGGTTGTGAGATCGGTGGCTGATGGACCCCTATATCACAGCACAAATGAAGGACCGGGAAGAGCGCGAACACAGCTGGAAGCGCTTCCGCCGCGACTTAGAGAGACGCAACAACAGCCGGCTTCCGTTCCGCATTGGTGCGCGCTTCTAAGGTTGGCGGCGCAACACCTCTGGTGCGGCATCATCATCTTTTTCGTTGGCGTCGTCATCATCATCATCGTCCGGGGCTGCTGGTTTGGCGTTGGCGGTTGCGAATTACTGCGGTCCGCGTTGTCTTTTCTTCTTCAGTCCGTCCTCTCCTTGCAGATTGTTTTGCCCTCAGAGGCTACATTGTCTTGCATTCGGCGGGCATCTGCGTTTCCATCCATCGTACCGGGTGTTGGGCTGGTTAGCATGCTGGCCTTGCTAGATTGTCATTTTGCGCTCAGTTTATCATGGCGTGTTTGTTCGGAGCCGGATTTGGCAGAGAATGATAGCCACATATTGCAATGTGCATGATTCAACTTGGCCTTGTCCCCCGTGTTAGTGGGAATAGCGGATATTCCGAGTACTCACAAAGCTCCTTCATGTCGATAGGACTCGTAGATGAGGACCATGACTCGCCAGACGCAGCGCAGTAAGTACCCTGTAAATCCTAGATGTGAAATTTCAAATTCTTGCTGTGCCTGTCTCGACCATGACCCTACTATGAATCAAGTATACATCCGTCAACGCCGGGCCAAATGCTACTAATGACACCCCGTCAGTCGAGGCGCAACTTGTATACAACCTTTTGTACACAACCCCTTATCAACCAGAACCACACACACCACCCGTTCCGTTTAGCCCTTGCTCTTGGTGTTGAGGATGAGAGCAACGATGAGCCTGTCAACTCGTTAGCAAAGCGCCCATGATGCTTGGCCTCAGGAATAGAGTCATACCCGTAGAGCCCCAACACTTCGCCGAAAATGAGAATCAGGACCATGCCGACAAAGACCCTGGACTGCAGCATGTACGCCCTGACGCCCTTGTCACCGACAATGCCGATGCAGTATCCGGCGGCGAGGGCTGTGAGACCAACCGACAGCCCGCATGCAAGATGCATGAATCCACTGTGTTGGACGTCAGCATGTTGTTTCGTCTGTCTCCTTCCATGTGCGGGAAACCCACTTAAACAAGCTGTAGTTGGACCCGGAGGCCGGCGGTTGCAGGTCCTGGGCGATGAGGACAGAGATGACGAGTGAGTAGACGGCGAGAATACCGGACATGACGACGGGGATCAGGCACTGTCAAAAGCCGGTCAGCGAGGGGCGTCCCTTGAAAATGTAGCTGCAGTAGCCTTCCCACCTTCATGATCAGATCCGGCCGGAACGTTCCCACGCCAGCAATGCCAATTCCGGATTTCGCGGTGCCGTAGGCCGCGCCCGCGCCTGTGAATTGGTTTCTGGTCAGCTAACTATCCGTTGGTGCTGTCGGAGGGGTTGTGGTTCGGATCGGGGCGGAAGGGTCGTTCGTACAGCCAAAGATCATGGCCGCGGCAATACCGCCCTACATAGGAAGACGAGTTAGCTAAGCTGGTACTGATGATGCGTTCTTCTCTGGCAGCCGCAACAAGCTCAGAAGGGGGATCCTCGCAGCCGGCGCCAACCAACCAACCAACCAACCAACCACTTACCATGCCGATGAAGGGCGCGAACTTGGGGCTCAGCTCTGATTCGGCCATTGTGTACGATATTCAAGAACTGGCAGAATTGGGTGGGTAGACGGCAGCGCAGTCGTGTCGATGCGCAGATAGTATGAGCCGGTGCTGCGCTGAGAAAGCAACGGTTGACGGCGGGTTACCTAGGTTGCTGCGACAGTTCCAACCGGGCCGCACGACCCAGCTTGGAGGTTGCGTATCCGCCAAGACCATCAACCAACTGCTCGCCAAGAATGTCACGTGAGTCAGCGGCTGCCTTTTGGTCGGGTGAGTCTGGACCCCTGCAACCCTGCGACAGCACGACAGTGCTGTGCCACGGCTTGGTTCGGCACCTGCAGGCAAGGTTTACAAGGGCACTTCCAAGAAATACATACATACAAAGTTGAGTTGCCCATGTAGGTTCGTAGACGGGAAAGATCCTTATCCGCTCTTGCAACGCCAAAGAAATTTTATACGAAGTGCCCGCCGGTGTCCTGATTCGGGGATACTCTTCTATGTGAAATTTCATTATTATCGTACGTAGATTGGCCCAAGAAAGGCGAGGTTGACCATAACATTTCTTCATCTTGCAACACTTCAAAGCGTGCCTTGGCATTGTGTTACGCTGCGACCCCCAACTTCAGGTACCCTATCTGAACCTTAAATGGTCGCGGGGCAGCTTCAACTCTCCCACACCTGCAAGACTTGCAATCACCAGATCGACAAAGTCATCCGGTCCCTGGCGACCTTCCCATTTGACCCCAGTTCGCATTTGAGGTCTCCAACCGTTCCCTGGCACTCCTCGCAAACGATAATCAGGGGAAGTACTGGGAGGCGAAACTGCGCCACGCCCGACGAGCCGTTGCGGAGCTGCCTTTAGTGGATCGCAAACACCCTTTTGGGCCTTGCAACCTGAGTTCGGTCGCCCGTGTGGCAGATTAAGTTTAGTTAAACACTTTTCGAAATCTGCCGCGACTTGACTGCCCGATAGTTCCAGGCTGCCAATATTCACAACCGCACACTGTCTCTCAACCACCCATCTCTCTCCCAGAGTAACCAACAGAATCCACCGCATCCCCATTGTCGAATAAGGCTCCGTTCCAGAGAGCCGGAGCTCCTTGCTAAAAGCGTAACTGGCCGCGTCGCGGGTGTCGGGTCGGCCTTCGGCGGCTTGTTCCCACGCAGCCCAGGAACCAAAAAATTGTTGTTAGGGGGGTGGTTAGGCCAATAACGTCACCCGCTGCCCGTGGCACAACCGGAAACATCCTCGAACAACCATCCTCCGCTCCGCTCCATCCATCACCCCAACCGTCGACAACGACAGGGGACAACGGACCGCCCGTTGCGGCCTCCGACACGCTCCAATTTTTTTTTCTTCTACTTTAACATACTGTTGGACATATATCTGGAGGACGATCACAGTCGATTTAAAGTTGGCGGTCGTCGGTGAGCCATCGGCTTCGAGATACGAGTAAGTTCATCCCTGCTCCACTCTCGAATTCAATTCCACAACCCCCCCTGACACAGTCCCCTGACCATCTGACCGTCGATTGTCTGCTGCTTTGTCGGCGCAGCCAAAAGCACCAAAACGCAAACCCGTCTCGTTGCTGACACAGAACCGTCTTCACAGCAGCCATGGCCGACTATCAGCGCGACCGTATGCCGCCACCGAGGCAGCCGCAGCAACAGCAGCAGCAGCAACGGCCCCAGCAGTATGATAACGACTACCAACGGGATGCTGCCTTTTCCAGCATCTTCGGCGCCGCTCCTCCACCCGGCCGCTCGCAGACCATGACCTCGTCAGTGCCGCCGCCTCAGTTCAGTCAAGATGGGCGCACCAATACAATGTCCTCAACGACCTCGGGCATGTCTGAGATGCACAGAGCGCCACCCCCGCGGCCGCCGCCAGGCGGTGACTACCGCAACCAATATCCCCCTCCCCGGCCGCGCCCGAACGACGGTGGCCAAGGATACGGCTACCATCCGGGCCAACAACGCGCAGCATCGGGCGGACAACAAGTGCCATCACCCCAATATATGCAGCAGCAGCAGCAGCAACGGCGGCCATATCCCGGCAGCCCGCCCGCTCAGCAACCGGGGCCGCCACGCTTCGACCCTCGACGAGGACCACCGCCAGCCCAAGGCTACTATGACAACAATGTCCAGCGTACTCCAACACAACGTTTTTATCAGGATGGAAGACCCCCGCCCGCTATGAACGCAGACCCATACCGGTCTCAGTCTCTAGCCAGCTACCCGAGACCACAAATGTACCAGCAGTCTCCTCCACAGCCGTACCAACAACAGCAGCAGCAGAGTCAACAGCCACCAGCCAACGCCATGCGGAATGCTCAGTATGCTCAACAGTCTGCTCGGACAACAGCCCATGGCCGAATTGTCCCCGATCGACATATGGAAGACCGGTCAATGACTATGACTGGGTATCCTTCGCACGACCGAGACTCACACCAGACCATGAGCGGCCGTGTCATTCCCAATAGGCGACCGGCGGGTGCAAGCCCACCACACCCCGAGTATGGGAGCAACCATGCCTCTCCAAACCCAGGGTACGCAGCTGGATACGGGCCACCTGGTTCTCAGACAAGGACGACGAGCATGGTTTCATCGACTGGTAACGACAGCAACAGGACCATGTCGATGGCTTCCACAATAGCCCCCCCTTCGATAGCGCCGAGCGACAGGACAGACACGCAAACGCTTGTGCAACGCACATCGATGAGCAACTCGATCAACGGCGAACGCCCCCCCACCGCCAAGATCAGGCCGCCCATGGTCTATCCTGCTCTTCTCTTCCGCGTTGCCGAATGCTTCCGCCAGAAGATCGTCACCGGTGACCGCACCAAGAACGAGCTTACATACAAGAATGCTTTCAGTGGTGCTGAAGCCGTCGACGTTCTCTCGTACATCATCAGGACGACAGACAGGAACCTGGCTTTGCTCCTTGGTCGGGCCCTCGATGCGCAGAAGTTCTTCCACGATGTAACCTACGAACACCGGTTGCGCGATTCGACGTATGAAATGTACCAGTTCCGGGAGACGATGACAGATGAAGCTGAGGAGAAGGATGCGGTCAACGGCGTCTTCGTTTTGCTCTCTGAGTGCTATTCCCCGACTTGCACGCGGGACCAGCTCTGCTACTCCATTGCCTGCCCACGACGACTGGAACAGGTGTCAAGGCTGAACCTCAAGATGGGCCCTGGTCTCAAGGCCGAAGGGGCGACGCCTGTGAACGACGACGATGTGGATCAGACCGACGAACAGAAACTATGGATTAACAGCGTGCCCAAGGAGATCGCCGACAGCATAAGCGACCGGGAGAAGAAGAGGCAGGAGATCATTTCGGAGATTTGCTACACAGAGAGAGACTTTGTTAAGGATCTCGAGTACCTCCGGGATTTCTGGATTTATCCGCTCCGGGGAAAAATCAACGGCCATTCCCCCATCCCGGCGGCCAGGAGGGAGAAGGTCGTTCGAAATATCTTTACCAACATTATCGACGCCCCCAGTATCCACGGCGTGAGCTCCAGGTTCGCGAGGTCGTTGACCGAGAGGCAACAGAAGAGCCCGGTTGTGAAGAACGTGGGCGATATCTTCCTGGAGTTTGTGCCACAGTTCGAGCCCTTCATCCTGTATGGTTCGAAGCAGCTCGAAGGCAAATTCGAGTTTGAGAACGAGCGGTCTTTGAACAAGGATTTTGCGAGGTTCGTCGACGAAGTCGAGCGGCGCAGAGAGTCCAGGAAGCTGGAGCTCAATGGTTACCTTACCAAGCCGACGACGAGATTAGCTCGGTACCCGCTTCTTCTTGATAACGTGCTTAAATACACGGAGGACGACAGCCCGGATAAGGAAGACCTTCCGAAGGTCTTGACCATGATCCGAGATCTGCTGGGCCGGGTCAACGAGGAGTCCGGCAAGGCTGAGAATCGCTTCAATCTACGGCGTCTTCACGAGCAGCTCAGGTTCCGCCCGAACGAGAAGGTGGACTTGAAGCTTACCGACGAGGGCCGCGAGCTGGTGTTCAAGGGCCAGTTCAAGAAAACACCTACCGAGAACCCAGATCTCACTGCATTCCTGTTTGATCACGCAGTGCTTCTTGTGCGCATCAAGCAGGTAGGGAAGACGGAGGAGGTGAAGGCGTACCGTAGGGTAAGTGCACTACTCTCTCAGACGTGTGCGGTGTGATGCTAACATTTGCAGCCCATTCCATTGGAACTGCTATCGATCAAGGAGATGGAAGAGGTGATACCCGACTCCGGTGTGAAGCGCTCATCGTCCAGCATCCTCCCCGCTTTGCGTAACACCGGGGGTGAGACAAAGAAGGGCGAAGGCTGGCCCATAACATTCCGGCATCTCGGCAAGAACGGCTACGAGTTGACTCTATACGCGTCGAACCAGCTGGGCCGGCAGAAGCTCCTCGAGGCCATTGACAATGTCCAGCAGCGCCTCAGGGCTCGTGCCGACTTCCTCAACACAACCGTCATCACGTCCGGCTTCTTCTCCGGCACGAACAAGGTCAATTGCGTGGCGCCGTTTGGTAAGTTCATTGAACAAGTGGCTCGCAGGACACTGCTAACATTGTTTTAGACGGCGGTCGCAAGCTCATCTACGGAACTGACAACGGCATCTACGTGTCGGATCGCAGGTCCAAGGATAATGCACCACCTAAGCGTGTCATTGACGTGCCAAGTGTCACCCAGGTCGATGTTCTCGAGGAGTACTCCTTGCTACTTGTGCTCTCGAACCGCTCGCTCCTGTCGTATCAGCTCGGTGCCCTGGACCCCAACGAGCCCATCTCATCCAAGCGTTCCAAGAAGATCCAGAGCCATTGTAACTTCTTCAAGACTGGCATCTGCCTCGGCCGCCACCTGGTGTGCTGCGTCAAGAGTTCGGCGCTGTCGACAACCATCAAGGTCTACGAGCCCAACGATGCCATGTCGCGCACCAAGAAGCAGAAGGGCCTCAGCAAGATGTTCAACGCTGGCCAAGACGAGCTCAAGCCTTTCAAGGAGTTTTACATCCCCACCGAGTCCAGCTCGGTGCACTTCCTCAAGTCCAAACTCTGCGTCGCCTGCGCCCGCGGGTTCGAGGTGGTCTCCCTCGAGACGCTCGAGACGCAGTCTCTGCTCGACCAAGCCGACACCTCACTCGATTTTGTGTCCCGCAAAGAAGGCGTCAAGCCCATCCACATCGAGCGTCTCAACGGCGAGTTCCTGCTCAACTACTCGGACTTCTCCTTCTTCGTTAACCGCAACGGCTGGCGCGCGAGGCCCGAGTGGCGGCTCGACTGGGAGGGCACGCCGCAGGCCTTTGCCCTGTCATACCCCTGGATCCTGGCGTTTGAGCCCAACTTCATCGAACTCCGGCATATTGAGAATCTGGCGGTCCATATTGTGCCGCACCGGAATATTCGCATGCTGCACAGCAGCACGCACGAGGTGAGTTTTGTTGCTGTTCGGACGTTATGGGTATTAGTGCTAATGAGAAACAGATTTTGTTTGCGTATGAAGATGAGCGCGGCGAGGATGTCATCGTGGCCATTGATTTCTGGAAGAGCCAACGGAAATCGGAGATGCCTCTCCTTCCCAACCCGGCCTCGCCGCCGAGTACCTCGCAGGGCTCGTCACGACTGGGCTCGGGGATGTGAAGGCTACCGTTGGAAATTTCTGAGGATGAGTGATCAACACAACAGTGCCGGAGTGCTGGGCACACGGAGCAAGGGCAAGAGGGGGTTGGTGGGAAGGGCGTGTCCAGCCTCCATCTGTTCACCAGGAGGGACGGCGGGGCATGGCCCTCTGTTGCGAGTCAAAGCGAACGAAGAACCCAAGGACAGCTTGGTCTGGGCAGAGAGGCCTGGGCCAGACCGGGATGTGGAGAGTTGGACCTAATCTGGGTTGGTTGTGTTTAGGTTTGTCTCGGCTTACATCACATGCACAGGAAAGCTGGCCGGGGAAGAGGGGGCGTCTTTAATCTTTACAATCTATCTGCCCTTTATTTTATGTCTTGCCTTGGTATTGTTCTTCTCAGGTTCCCGGTCGCATCTTGCTTTCTGTGTCGGTTTTCTTTTTCTTCTCGGGGTGAGGGACGGAGCAACAAGAGAGGGGTTGTTGATATGTATTCTACGTCTTTAGAACCGGCTCGCCTGGTGGGTGAGTGTAACGGACAGGTGATGGTGTTAGGACAGCAGGTAGTTTGAGTTAGGCATTGATACCTTGTTGTGTGGAAACGAACTCGGCGCTGATAATGTTCTTGGAAGAAACTGGGAGTTGCTTCAGGAGTTCTCCGCCAGTGGAATTATTATAGAGGCCGTGAAACGGTCATGCCCAGGCCGAAGACTCCGGGATGCCGAGCCCCTAAACGCCCCTGGACCAACAGCGGTCGGAAACGGCTACTCGGATCACCGATCGCCTGTTAGCTGCAGCACTTGGCAGCTTTGGCCAAGGAGACGGCCGACCTGCGCAACATGCGTGACCAACGACATCTGAAAATCCTTAATTCTCCTCCGCTTTAA